AATTTTAATGCTGCTTTGGACATGAAGTAAGTGCAACTTACAAATGTTGGAATTTGGGCATTGGCAGTTTTATCTTTTGAGATACCATATTGCAGGCAGACACTTGTACCAAATACTCCTGCTGTTTCCACATACCTGCCTCTGAAAACGAGACTAAACACTGGCCATTAGTTGAAAAATTTGACATGAGGGAAACTAAGGATTTCCCCTGCAGCCTGTTAGTTCAAAGCATTGCAGTAACAGGTACTAATTTAGAGCTCTTTTTAGAAGTTGCTTGAACTGTCATCTTTGCATTTAATGGAAGGCTGGAAATGACACGATCCTTTAAAAAAAAAAAAAGCCAGGAAACTAAAAAACTGCTCAACTGCTCCTAGATAAACCTGCACCATGCCCCCTTGTGCTAACCTGGGCCCACTAAAGTGGCTCTTTTATACAAGGTCAGGTAAAAGGGGTATTACCATTTTATTAAGCTGCGTCCAACTGGGACAGTATTACAGCAGGTAGGGAAAAGGTAAAGGTAAAGTGCTTTTGTTTGAAAGCTGGTTTATAAACACTTGAGTGTTTAGTTTGTCATTTTACTGTATTTTTTATATAGTATTTTGATAACTGCACTAAGTGCCTAGTGAGTACAGCCACCAGTTACTGGCACTGTGGACTGTGAAACTATTCTTTCAAATCTTTAGGCTCTGAAAAGAGCCCAAGGACTAAGAGTCTTTAGCCTCTGAAAAGGCTCAGCTATAAAAATGGACCTCGACAGTCTTTTAAAATGAAACATGAGTTCTATCAATGCCACTTTTCAGGTAATCACTGATGGACAATATAATCATAGCAAGCAGTGAATATGAAAAATATGAAAAATAGCAGTGTAGTAACACCTGCTTATGTGTGTACAGGTTGAAGAAGTCCGAGAGGTGATGGAGAGCGAAATGAGGACCCAGCTCCGGCGGCAGGCGGCTGCCCACACAGACCATCTGCGAGACGTTCTTAAGATCCAGGAGCAGGAACTAAAGGTGGAATTTGAGCAGGTAAGGGAGAAGAGTCCCCAAGGGAATTAGGGGGATATTTGAACCCTTGCAAAGCAAATGCTTCACAGGATGAGAGTACCAAACCATCTTCCAGGAGACTGAAATGTGGGCTGGGGAGGGACGCCCGGGTATCTCAAAGAGATGAAATAACGCATAGGTTTTATTCAGACTTGTCTTAAAAGCTTTTTCTATAGATGAGAAATTTTTCACAGTTGCAAGTGCAGTAACTGTTAAATTCACCCTAATAAAGTTTCTTCCTAGTATATTTACTATATGTGTTGTCCCTAGAAAGAGCAGATTTATAGATGCATACCTTAAAAATAAGTTAAATATAATTTGTCAGACCAGAAACAGCCATTTTGTATCTCGCTCTGTTTCAGAACTTATCGGAGAAACTCAGTGAACAAGAAATGCAATTCAGACGCCTTACTCAGGAACAGCTTGACAACTTCACGTTGGACATAAACACTGCCTACGCCAGGCTGAAAGGAATTGAGCAAGCAGTTGAGAGTGAGCACAGAAATGGCAACTCTTTAAGGACTAAAGTCGTGTTCCCCTGAGGCTCGTTACCCAAACCTGGGTGCTTAAGCGCAGGTTTGGGCTCGTAGCTCATGGGCCTGGGGGTTGCCAGGCTGCTGAGCACCCGGCAGATCCCAGCTGCGCAAGTCCAAAGCTGTCGTCTTGTTCTGACCCTAACTTGCGGAACAGACTTGCTTTGAGATCAAGTGCCGAGGGGGTGGCTGCTTTTGAAAGCAGCGTTCAGAGGGATGGCTTTTGCTGCTTGTGTTGAAAACTCTTCCCGCATGTGTGCCCTCAACTGAGAGTCCTCTTGGCTTATTTTGCAGGTCACGCGGTAGCAGAAGAGGAAGCCAGAAAGGCCCATCAGCTGTGGCTTTCTGTTGAAGCGCTCAAATATTGCATGAAAACAGCTTCTGGGGATAGTCCCACAGAACCACTGGAGAGCGCGGTGAAGGCCATCAAAGCCAGTTGTTCTGACAACGCGTTTACAGAAACCTTAACAGCAGCTCTCCCTCAGGAGTCCCTGACGCGGGGAGTGTACAGCGAAGAGGCCCTCAGAGCACGTTTCTACACAGTCCAAAAACTGGCCAAAAGAGTGGCTATGATCGATGAAACAAGAAACAGCTTGTATCAATACTTCCTGTCTTACCTGCAGTCGCTGCTTGTGTTTCACCCTCAGCAGCTGAAGCCACCTGCTGAGCTCAGCCCTGACGACCTCGACACGTTTAAATTACTGTCCTACGCCTCGTATTGCATTGAACACGGAGATCTGGAGCTGGCAGCTAAATTTGTCAACCAGTTAAGAGGAGAGTCTAGGAGAGTGGCGCACGACTGGCTGACCGAAGCTCGAATGACCCTAGAAACAAAACAAATTGTGGATATCTTGACAGCATATGCCAGTGCTGTGGGGTTAGGAACAACTCAAGTGCAGTGAGGTAGGGTTGTAGTTTCGGAGGCTGCTCGGCAATCGTTTGTGCCAGAAAGAAATGCCACGATCTCCTAAGGGTTGCAAACCGAGCTGTTGGCAGGGGCTGGAAGCGTTAAATCAAAGCACGGGTACTGTCTTGTTTCCTTGCACTGTATTTAACTTCACCACCTGTTGTATTTGTATTGGTTTTGAGTTATCATGACAACCAACTTCAGGAAGCTTCTCTACAACTTGTGTAACAATTTTGTTTCCCCATCTTACCAAGCGGGCTTGTGATCCAACCAAAATAATGTTTGTAACCGACCATTAATGATTTGCCACCCTGTCAGCTGAATAAACCAAGACTTCAACTACTTTCTCCTGCTGTTCAGTCTCCTATTTAAAAATCAAGTACAGCCGGGCAGTACAAGAGCAGCCTTTCAAGGAGCAAGAACTCATTGGTGTGAAAAATGTGTCTATTCATTAATTTGTACAGCTGTAAGAAAAAAAAAATCCATAAGCGCAGGTTTACATAGACATAACTTAAGCTGGTGTCAGAACATATTCTGGTGGACTTCTACCCATGTATGTTTCTTGTCAGACCTACTCTTCTGTAGTTTTAGAAGACCATGTATTTCTATCTAGAAGCCAGACTTTGGGTGAACCATGAGAACTCACATAAAGACCAACCTCCTTCCTTAGAATCAGAATTGTTATGGCTGGAAAAGACCTTTAAGATCAAGTCCAACTGTTACCTAACTCTACCAGGCCCACTTCTAAACCATGTCCCTTCTCTTACCTTTCCCTTAATTCTTATCATCAGTGAGGAAAGATTGATCAAACTTACTTAGTCCTCACTTGCCGAAATGAGTAACTGTGGCTTTGTCTACTTGCTGATCCAGTTTTAAATTGTTGGTACAATAAAGCAAAGAGCATAACACCACCTCAGAAAGCCCTTTATCTTTGATCTACCCCTTAACCTGCACTAGTCACACATTCCTGGAACATGTGTGTTTGCTTTCTGGAGCAAACCTTGCCTTCAGCCCTTACTGCCCATCCACTCCTGTAATGTGAGGAGGAATACTTGACTTTTACCCTTTCAGCTGTAGTTTGTTCTGCCTCTAGCAGCTGTTATTTCCCAAACTCATTACTGAATTATCCTTGAGCTGCTTTCCACAGCAGTGTGCTCTTACTTGTCCTGCAGCATCACGCACGTCAAGGTTTTATTTTTCACAAAGAGAATCATCTGCCAATTGCTTTTCACATGAATATGAGGCTTAAGCCTCTCAGAAACAAGACCGTTCTTTGCCTCTTCAAGATACCTACCTCAACAAAACCTTCGAGCTTCCTCTACAAGCTGAGAGCAGCAGCACAATGCCGTGAGGGCCAGTTAACTGCAAGGCAGAGAAATGAACAGCGCAGTCATGTCTTCCCAGCCACCTCGTTAGCTTTAGTGCTGTATTTAGTGCTGTATTCCAGTTCTGGGCTCCCCAGTTCAAGAAAGACAGGGAACTGCTTGAGAGGGTCCAGCAAAGGGCAACAAAGATGATTAGGGGACTGGAGCACCTTTCTTATGAGGAAAGGCTGAGGGACTTGGGTCTCTTTAGTCTAGAGAAAAGAAGATTGAGGGGGGATCTTATTAATACATACAAATACTTAATGGGAGGATGCCAGGGGGATGGGAGTAGTCTTTTTTCAGTGGCGCCCAGTGATAGGACGAGGGGTAATGGGCATAAACTTGAACATAGGAAGTTCCATCTTAACATGAGAAGGAACTTCTTTACTTTGAGGGTAGTGGAGCACTGGAACAGGCTGGCCAGAGAGGTGGTGGAGTCTCCCACTCTGGAGACATTCAAAACCCACCTGGACGCTGTCCTGTGTAACGTGCTGTAGGTGACCCTGCTCTGGCAGGAGGGTTGGACTAGATGATCTCCAGAGGGCCCTTCCAAAGCCAACTCTTTAGCTTTAGTGCTGAATTCTGCATGAACTTTACTCACTTTCTCACAGAGCAGCCTCAACGCTTCGTAGTCAACAGTTTTTGCGCAGGCATTATCAGAATACAGCCGTATTTAATGTCAGCCATTTATTAGATGCAGTCTCCAGCTGTACAGATTGTAGGATTTTAACATCTACAGTCCTGTCCCAAAACCCCCTCAAAAGATGAGGAATAACACCACAGGTGATGAGTATTGCATTACTTACAGCGTTTACATAGAGTAAACTTCGTATTTAAATAGTTCATTACAGTTAGCTAGAAAGGAATTAAATCTGGCGCAGGTTTAAGTCACAGGAGGTCCAAGAGAAGTCTTGCTCAAGCTCTCAAAAGTCTTGTACCTGCTGAGCAGCCTCCAGGAAGCAGCACTCCTCTCACTGCAGCCCTCCAGTACCTCAGCCAAGCTGTTCACGCAGGCCACAGCTGCCTGGCAGGAGCGAGCTCGCGCAGGTAGTGCTGTGGAAGAGGCTGCGTTCATGTAGCCAACGCTGTGTTTGAAGTTACCAAGAACATTAAATGGGACAGCTTCTAGCTTGCTCCAATGAAGACGACATAGAAGCAGGTCTTGTATCAGAATGCTGTGGAGCTCTCAGCAGTGCTGCAGCACCCCCCAGAAGCCATCCCTTCAGTGATTTCACTTCTCACAGAAGCCTCCTGGCACCAAGACAGCCGTTGCTCCCAGTTTTCCCAAGGGGAAGGCAAGAGGGACAGCTAGTCACGGTCACTATCGCTGTCACTATCACTGTCGCTGCTGTCGCTGTCTGACTTGATACTCTCCAATGTCTTCCTGCAGATGTAAAACAGTCCAGTAATCAGTCACCCGATTGAGGCTTTTGCTTGAAAAGAGATATCCAAAACGCACAGGGTAAACCCCAGCCACAGAGAACGTTATGGGCTGTCTGATGCCTATTGTCCTCAAAGAACAGGTCCACCCAGCATTTGGTAGAAGCAGACCCACCTCCTTCTGGAAAAGCTGACTACTTCAGTTACCTAGAAAGTGGCACCCTGTCAAGGGTGCCGGACTTCTATTTATTCATTCCCTTGGACCAGACCAGTAGCTCTAAACCATGGTCCTCAAGGCTAAGCCCATCCTCTGAGCTTGGCTACATCAGCTCAGAAATGACCCATGGTGGCTGGCCAGGTGTACTGAGGATTGACCATGAGCCTCAGAACCTGTGAACCACGTACAGGGCCGTCCTGCAGCACCAGCCTGCTCTTATTAGCCTGACATCAGTGTCTTCTAGGTGGCCAGACCCAGGTAGAGAAAGATTCTGGGAAAGAAAGGTGATAGCAGATCTGAACAGTGGACGAGGCTAACCCCATCATGGAAAGTTACCTTCCCTCCCAGATGGTATGGATACAGCCTGGGATCAAAAACTGAAGGGCTGTTTTGGGGGTGTGAATTGGCCACAGCCAACACAAAGGTACATCATTCTGAAAGCCAGCTCTCTGCTGCCTTCACAGAGAAGCCTTTCCACAGGCTCCCCTCCAACACCCTGTCTATTACACCCCTTCAGCAGTAACATGAAGTACTCCAACTTACTTCTGCTTTTCAGAGAGTTCAAATTCCTTCTCCGTTCTGCTTTTAAGCCTTTGAGATGAAGGAAGACCGAGGGACGCTGCCAGCTTTACCAGCTTAATTGCCTCATCTGAGCAATTGGTTTGTTTAGCACAGTTCAAGAACTCATCCATCACCTGCTCACTGCAAAAGCAAAGGCAAAGAGTGACTGTTCACTGGGCCCCAGGTGAGATGGCCATTAACTTACAGCAGGTGCTTCAGAGAGGGAGAGGAGGTGACAGATTTTCAGATCACTCAACCAGCCCAATTCTGCTCCTGCCATGACTTTCACCTCAGCCTTCACGCCGTACCACTTGGGAATTCCTATCCTAGCAGAAAGAAATACTTCTCCTTGCACAAAACCAGAGGGCAGCAGCTTACTGCTCAGGATGAGGATGCCACCTTAGCAGCAGCCTAAATAACCTTCCCCTTTTTGCAGTCCCTCACCCTCTTTTACATGGCTGGCAGAGGTAAAGGAACAGTGTAACAGCACTTGAAATCAAAGGCAGTCTGCCAGAGGCTGCTGTGCTGTCTGCGGGCGCTGGGAGCCGCTGACAGCTGGCTCGGCTCTGCCAGCTGTGTTGCATGTCAAAGCATCACGTGCGACAGCTGCTGGAGACACCTCTCTTGCCTTTAGGCAGGGAAACAAGCAAGTGTTTGCAGCTGGTGCCGCAGCGAGCTTGGCAGAGAAGGGAAGGGAGTGAACCAGGAAAGCCTCTGATCCATTTTGTAATGGCAGAGAAACCACTTTCTTTCCCATTACATTCATAACTCATGGCATTCACAAACCCATCAGCTACACCATGATTTCAGAAGAATTCTCCTTTCCCTCTTCCCCAAATTGAGACAGGGAGCATCAAGGCTTCCTTGCGGCCACACTAGCAGCAGTCTGCAGAACAGGCCAAGCACAGAGTACCACTAACTGCTGCCTTCGGTACCACACACCCTCACTGGTGCAGGCAGCCACAGAGAACATCGTGCACTCTGTGAAATTCCCACCTCCAACATCGGATTTCAGGTGTTCACTTCCGTGAGCAGCAAGCAGTTGTTTGGGTTGTTTTTTGTTTTTTGTTTTTTTTTTTTGTTTTAAATGTATTATTGTTTCTCAGGACTTGCTTTCTACTTAAAACAGAATTTTTTCCTCCAAAATCCTGAGAAAAGCTAACTGTTGTAACCTAACAAGGTACTACATAAGATTTAGGATTTGACTTGATAAACTTCTCTTCAGAAATCCAGACACCTCTGAAGCACCTATGCTTGGTTAATAGCATATTAGAATTTTTTTTGAAAACATCTAATTTCCCGTGTGCTCAAGAGTCCCACTCAGACTGATTTCTACTTCCAAGTTAATCAGTGGCATTGCTCTTCATGTCCCAGAGCTTCAATCAATGACATCTCAAGGATCAACCACTTAAATCCCCCCCCTTTGCATTTTCAACATTTTTTGAGACAGAAAGGTCTTGGCACATATTAGTTGGATAAACAAACACGCGCTCACAAGGACAGACACACACATCCATGCTTCGGAAGTAACAGTCAGATAGGGACCACTATTGTTGGTTATAATAAAAATGCAAAATTTCAGCCAAAGGGGACACCCAGTACTTGATGTCAGAACCTAAAAGTACTCACGTGGGAATCCTATTGATTTGCTGGAACCGCTCCATCATGTTCCTGTTCAAAAGAAAACAAAAAAAAAAATATAATAAAAACCACCACAAAACACAGGAACAGACAGATATTAAATCTCTTGGATAAGCCCCTGTTGAAACATAGGCAAGGTCAATTTCATTAAATGATCTTCCTCACAGATCTGAAACAGATCCCATGCTGTATTCTTGCAGGTGCAATGTGTACCAGCTAACATAATTGGTTAGTTTAACACAGACTATCTTAACTAGTGCAGAAAAAATAAAAAGTGTAGCTGGTAGCAAGTTTACTTTAAAAATATTACATGCTTTTAGAAGGGTACTTGCCACTTCTTTGTTTCATATGAATCTGTGCAAAAAGAATATCTGTATTTAACGGAAAATAGCTCAGAACCTTAAATCAGAGGCTAGGTATTTTAACCAGTATTTCACATTGAGAGCATGCAGGACAGCAAATTTTAGCTTCTGAGCAGTACTAAAAATATTCTCTTTAGATTTTTAATTAGGGTTAATTCTAATTAAAAGTTTAATGAAACTAATTAATCTCTATAACAGTTGGAATTCCAAAGAGTTCTAAAAATTACAAAAAGGGAAGCTGCAGGAAATCAGCAGTGCTTAGTGAAGTGATAATCAAACCCCACCTTGCCAAAAGCAGCTATACAATGCTCTAAACCAGTTGCTACATTAACTTCTACACCATTTTTAAGACAAACTACTGTAACTTGGTACCAAGAATGAACAATAAAATTAAGAAAAAAACCCATCACATTCCCAGCAGGATTTATGTCCTCCCTTTGTCTGCACTAGTGTTCCAAGGCAATCAGTTGTTAGTTTTCGATTTTTGTGATTAAACCTTGAGTTAGTGTCAGCAAGACAAGAGCTCATGACAGTCCACACGTACCAAGCATCCTGGGTTCTCCCAACCCTGGAAAACAACAGAGTGACATGGCACAGCACACTGCCTGTCCATTCCAACGGGGCCTGCTCCCTCCCAGTTTGCTCATGGACAGCTTTGATGTCATCAGCACACTTGGCAAACGCCAGTTGAATCTGTGAAAAGATTGTGCTATTAAGCCCCAAACCTCTAGAATTAACATACCCTTCTCAGTGCAATTCCTCCTACAGGTCTGCCCTGTATGTGATTTAAATTTGTGAATTAACAGCGGTTCCTCCCAGCAGAAAAATTTCTCACTTGTCAGGACAATTGTCCCCACTAGGCAAGCTCCAAGACGGCTTTGCAGGGACAGCTGTATTTAGAGACCTCTGCAGCACGCGTAAGCCTTTAACCCTCCTCAGCTTGAGAAGTCAATTACTGCAGTGACATCTTTGGCAAAAAATCCCCAAATTCTGCCATGTGCTTCCCCAGAGAGACGTGGCTGGCTGGGCTGGATTACTCTTCCAAACCCTGGTAAGGAAGTGATCCTCTTCTGTGTTAATCTGAGGTTTCTCTACAGGTTGAAGACAATCTGAAAGGCTTCGCAGGCCTGGATAAGATCACACAGATCTGGAAATTTGTAATAGCATATGCACTGGAACTGGACCTCTAAGACCGAAGAGGGACAATACTACAGCACTTCAATGCAGTCTGTATGCTGCACACAGCAATGAGGAGCCATCTCTACTATATTCACTGAGCTTCTGTACTGGTTTTGGCTCGGATACAGTTAAATTTCTTCATAGTAGCTTGTACAGGGCTATGTTTTGGATTTGTGATGAAAAGTGTGTTGATAACACAGGGATGTTTTAGTTATTGCTGAGCAGCGCTTACACAGTGTTTCTGCTCCTCACAGTGTCCCACCAGCAAGTAGACTGGAGGTGAACAAGAAGCTGTGAGGGGACACAGCTGACCCCAACTGACCAAAGGGCTATTCCATAGCATATGGCATCATGCTCAGCAGTAAAAGCTGGGGGAAGAAGGAAGGAGAGGACGCTCGGAGTGATGGTGTTTGTCTTCCCAAGTAACCATTATGCATGATGGAGCGCTGCTTTTCCAGCAATGACTGAACACCTGCCTGCCGATGGGAAGCAGTGAATGAATTCCTGATCTTGCTTTGCTTGCACGCACAGCTTTTGCTTTACCTATTAAACTGTTTTTATCTCAGCCCACAAGTTTTTGCACTTTTACCATTCCAATTCTCTCCACCATCCCACGGGGGAGGAGTAAGTGAGCGGCTGTGTGGTGCTTAGCTGTTTACTGGGGTTAAACCACGACAGCTTCCTTACCTCCTCAGGGTGCTGCTCCCTGCTCATCAAAGACAAGAGCTCTTCCAACAGGTCTTGTCTCCTACTAAACCCCAGTTGTTTCATATCTGTTTAGAGAAAGGCAGTAGTTAGTAGGTGTGACCAGTACCCCCTGCTCCCAACTCCTGGTGATATGGTCAGCATAACTAATGCCATTTTGCAAGGCAAACAGCCATTCTCTGCGACTGAGCAGGTCACGTATTAGTTCCCTTTCCCCTCATTTTCAGGTCCTGAAGGTCCTTGTGCTCTAAATAGATGCACCAAACAGATTTCTTCTTTCCCTCCCTGCCAGCCTCAAGATTCCTGGGCACCAGGCTGACTACTCCCTTCCTTAATGGCCTTCAAGGTTCCAGGCACCCAACCAACCCGGTGGTGGCGATGACCCTGTCACAGAACAGGGAAGGCAGAAACACACAGAGCACTGTCTATAAAATCAAGCAGTTACAAGTCCTAGGTAGGAACCTGGACCCAAACTGCGGCTGGACAGTGAGACCCACGACACCCCAGTGGCCAGGGACAACTCCACCGTCATCTGCTGCCTCCAAGAAATGAGTGGTGACTTGTATTCTTTTATATGTTTTTCGAGGCTAGATTGCAATTTTTATGTTGATAGAGCAAACCAAGTATCAAGATTTGACCCGATCTGCAGAGGGTCCAGGTGATTAGAAACTGTAAGCTAAGCAGTGCTCTAAAATTCTGTACTGCTCTACTTAAAAAACTGTACTACACTGATTCTGCTTATAGAAGTACTGAGCTATTCTGATTATAAATTCTATGCTATGCTAATTATAAAATTATGTTGAGAAAATAAAGCTTTAATTGTAACTACAACTCAGTGCTGTCATCATTCTGCCAAGGACCCTGAAAGAACCTGTCTGTCGCCTCAGTGTTGGGTGACAGTAGGATATTTTCTGTGTGCCAAACCCTGTATTTGCCTTGTCTCCTCTTCTTAAGGGGAAAGAACAGGCAAATCATTTAAATGAGTTAAACCTGGGCTGTTGGTTAAGGTACTACTCTCTGGTAAGCACTCAGTTTTCCAAGACACTGACATTTAACTGTGAAACAGCCACCATCTCTCCGATAGTCTGTGTTACCGGTTCTGCCTTTCTCTAATACAGCAGCCCCACAACTGTACTGAGGAATAATGTCCCTCATGCCAAAGTACCTTATCACGGCTATTCTGAGCACTGGAAAATTTCCCAACTACCTCCCCCTTTGCACTCCTACTGACTTTTATCAAACAAACTGCCTACGTAGCCGTGTGGCTATCGCTAACCTTCCCAGACTGAAGGGATCACTTCCAAGTGGTTGGCTGCATCCAGTGCTTGAAGGAGGTCCAATATATTTTTAGGAGTTGGATAGAAGACCTGAAGAAGGAAGAGAGTCACTTCAGTGAACTCTAACTGTTCTGTTTCTCCATACTAAAGCTTTGAAGCTTGCTTACCCTAATACACACTTACCGAAAGGGACATTTCTTTGTACCATTTCAACACAACATCAATTTGTTCCATCATACACAACAATGAAAAGAATTTTGACCTACAGGAGGAAAAAATGTTCTAATTCAGTAATGATCAGATCAACTAAACCATACAGAAACACCAGCAAATGATGGTGTTCTGATCAGATTTGTACTGCAGATCATGGAAACTTCACTGACTGCAATACTCCATACAATTAAAAAAGCAGTAGTGTTTTTTTATGAGACAACTTAACGCTAACACTAAGTAATTGGCAGAATTAGTAAGAAGTGGACCACTGCATTTTAAAATCTTGAAAAAAATGCAATCTCCCTGCCTGATGCCAGGTTTGAGGTATCTGAATCTCTCTCAAATGCAATCTCTGATTAAGAAACCCTTTAAGAAGTAAACTAAATTAATGTAATTAGTTGTGCAAGTTTTGCAATACAAGCCTGGGACCTTGATACAATGCACTAAGAAAAACGTCCCTACACCAAGAAATTAATTTCCATTAATTTCCCTTGATTTATTTACAGTCTAAATAAGGTAAAATCATCTGAATCATTCCACTCCTGAAACCACAACTTATTTTGATGACAATTATTTTTCATGAATTTACAGGAGCATCTCTAGTTCCAATGCCTAAATAGACTTTTCTTCAAATCAATATGATCAAAGTACTTAATTACGTTCAGCAACTGCAGCACTGAACACTGGTAAAGATGTTTCGGACACCATGATGACAGTGTCAAACGGTGAAACTACATGGGAGTGTCATGCCTAAATACACCTGCTGCGCTGCAGCCTCTCTCCAACACCACGCAGAGAGCTAGGTCCAATCTGTATGCTATTTTGGTGTTGCTTTCTAAGCTGCCATCGTAAGTGGACAACAGGATTGCAGAAAATACAACTGCTTGGTATAACTGCTGGATGGGTATGAAGCTAAACGGATGCTCCAAGTTCAGGCAAGGCCACAAACTGAAACTAAATCCTAAGCTATCACTGCTCTTAAGAGGGAAGTAATTTCAAAACTGCACAGACAATAACCAGCTGGTGTTCAACAAAGCATCCTTCTATGCAATGTCTGAATCCTAGCTTGTGTTCAAATTGACAACAATACACCAGATGCTGAATATAAGCTGCATTTCACTCACCAGTAGGCATTTAACCGATCCATGTCCAAGAACTTCCAGTTGTCTCCCTTCTCCATTGCCTTATTTAACCGATAGGCAAGCTTGATATCCTTAAGATCACAGCACTGCAATAGACCAGTCAGATTTTAAAGCTACCAAATATAACACTTAATACATCCCTCTGAGACTCACTTTCACAAAGGTATGAAGAATAATGAGCTGACAGCAAACATTTTTAACAGGACGCAATTCAGTGCAGTGACTGCCTAGGCATTTTGTTTAGTTGAGACAAATGCACGATTCCCACAGTCTGCAAGAGCTTTCTAACCTAAACCGACACTTTTTGGTGTGGATACTGTCTGACCGCTGCAGTGTCACTAGAAGCAGGGGGCAGGGCACAGAAGACAAGGACTTATGCAGCTATCGCTAGCAAGAGATGCATGTATCACAGGCATGCAAGTTACCAATTTAGAAGGCATCGAGCAAAGAACTGCAGAATTACGGAGGAAAGTTACAGGAGGTGATGAACATAGGTGAAAAAGTGAAAGATACTGAGCGCTAAACCTTGTATCACAGGTTGGAAAACTCACAGGCAATTCTTAAACAACTGGAGGGCTCAAAGGAATTCTGATTGCAGGGAAGAGGTACTTACCGCTTGCATAGCAGTGGCAAAAAAGTTGGCTGAAAGGGAGAAAATGGAGTCCATTAGCTTCAAACTTTCAAGGAGACATACAGCAGCTCACTAATCCAGACTCCCAGAGGACAGATGAGACAGGTTCAATTTGAAAGCTGACTCTGTTGCTCAGTTTAACAATGTAGCTGGGATCTTCACTTTGTATGTAGAGACTCTGGCGTGGCATGAGTTTTGCTAGCCAGTGTTCTGGAGGCTATACTGCCGTGCTTTTGGAGACAGATTTAAGTAGATGATCTGTTTGACTTTAGGTACTTTTACAAAAGCTACATTCTTTTGTTTGATTCAAGACGGCATTATTTTTTTGTAGCCTGCCTGTTAGACAAAGGCAGCCACATCACTCACCTTCTCCATTTACTCCAGTGGAAGAGAGCACATGCAACAGAGACAGGTGTTCAGGCAGGTTACCCATCTCTTCAGCACACCCCAGAGCTGCCCAAGAACATAGAACTGTCCCCTGAAAATGTCTCCTTCCTGTTTTGTGAGCCTTTGGCCCTGGTTTCTGTAATTGACATTTCAAAGCAGGACGGAGACTGATGCTGCCCAAGGGAGGTAAAGAAAGCCACAGGGGGAGGAAGGACATAAACTATCCTGCTCAGTAGCTTATTTCATTTGTATGGTGAGAATTTTGGATAGGTCGTTTTGGTTTTTCTGAAGCAAATACAAGGGCTACCAGAGACTGAAACAATGGCTAGTTGTGGGTAACAAAATAGTGGGAAGAACTGTAAGGCAATTCACTTAAAAGCCCTAGGTACAATACACCCTCCTTTTCCTTGCAACTTTATAAATTAACTAAATACTTTTAAGTTGGAAAAAACATTTTTGTGTTATTTAGGTGTTTAGTATACACTTCAGCTACAGCCTACAGAATCATCTGGGCCAAGGAAAAGCCTTGCAGGGAACACAGAGGTTTCTGAAGGTAAGAGTCAGTTCACATACACCACCACCCTAAGGAAAAGGAAGCCTCAGTTTTGTTCAAAGTGTCAATCTGAACTCTGCAAAAGCAATTACCAAATAGCATAAGGATCCCACATTGAAGAACAGAAACATCTACGTATGCATCTTGCTTAGACAAAGTGGCTTTGACCTAGTCTTGTGCGAGCTACCTCTCTCTTTTAAACTGCTGTGTAGCAAAGCTCATTCAACTCCCATGATTCAGGCAAGGCCTGTATCTGCGTGCCCATCATCACTACCTTTGCTAACAGCGGTATTTCTATAAAGCGTGTGAAGGAGCAGAGCAGGTACAGCCATTGCCTACGCTTCTGGCAGCAGCTTAGAGCCAGAGCAAGAAACAGTATAACACATATAGCAGGGCAGAAGCAAACAAAAGAGGTGTGCAACATTCTGACTATTTTCAAAAAAAAAAAAAATGCAGGTAGGATAATATAATATGCTACTCTAACATAATGTCATAATTATCTTTGTCCTTTAAATGGCCAAAAAACATATCAACTCCACTCCATTTTCCTGAAGCATGATGCACTGTAATACCTTCTTCATCCTATCACATATAGAACTGCCAGCTGCTAAAGAGTGGCTTCTGACACATTGTTCACACCACATTGTACACAGCACAGCTAACAGACCCCTCTTTGTCACCCCTCTTCTTCAGACTGAAGCTGCGTCTACTTCTGTATGTACAAAAAGGCTCTGAAGATCCTAGGGCAAAGTTGTGCACATACAGATGGCAGAAAGAGCCAGTGAGACATGGGATGTTCAGAACCCACCCTTCAACAGACCCAAGCTTCAATTTTGCATGAAGTTGTATTTCATGCAATTTTCTGACACGATTAGGAAGAACTAGAATAGGATCTCACACCACACTACAGCAAAAACCTGCTGTTCACCAGACGTCTCATTTCACGAAGCTGCTAGCAGATGTTCCTCCTTAAACTAGTCTTGTAAACAGCCTTGTGATTTTTATCATGTGGGACTCAAATACTCATTCATATGGGCTACACTCCTACTTCCACACAGAAGCCAGCACACCAACGCATAGCACACCTTCCCAGCACTGGAATTTGTCCTTTTTTGTCTCCAAAAAGTATCAGAAGGTGCTGACATAAGCAAGCTGCATGCGTTCTTTCTAGTGGGATAGAACTACTTGAAATTCCCTAGGTACTTTTCCACCCAAGCTTAAATAATGCATATTGTGAGATATATTGAAGTCCATACCGTCATCAGGGTCCTGGGGAGTGAAACTCCTCTTTTCAACGTCATCTAGTACTTCAAGGATGATGCCTGGTGGGCAAAGGTCAACTGTGGGACAAACAGACAAGCAACATCACATCTCAGTTGTACTATGTGCTTCGTTAGGAAAGAGCGTCAGCCTGCAAATATACTACAGAAATGGAAACAAGCACCGCGATCTCAAATAAGTGTCAAGATTCTCCTATCTCTACCCCGAATTGTGGTGCTCCACACCAGCTGCAATTTTATTTGCACTAAAATTTGCCAGATTTCCACAGCACAACAGGGTAGATTAACAAAGATACAAGTACTTTCTAGCAAGGAATCCAACAGGCCTGCAAGTTTGTCTGTTAGAATGTGGCACTGGGAAAAGCAATGCATTTTATAAACAAAAAAAAAAAACCAACAGAGAGACTCCAGAGCAGTTTGTACACATTTGTTATAACATAAGGACTGCAGTTACAACTACTGCGTCTATTCCCATTCCACGTCCACAGATTTTTGGCTAAAGGATCTCAACAGTTGGGCTTCTGCCTTCTAACACAGCTATACTTCAAGACAGTTTCAATCCACAGAACTATTGCAGAAAAACAGAATCCCTGTGCAACTGCTTCCCCATGAGGGGCACAGTCTATGTAATCATAGGCACTGTAGTCAGATCCAGCCTCCAGAGAGATAGAGTAGCATCTGCTTTTTAGCTTTATCAACTTGTTGCCACAAATGGAAATGAAAAGGGGCTTTCTTTCCAGTTCTGTCAGTTCTCAAAACACAAGGACTGTTCCCTCCCTGTAAGAGGTTACGATCCTCTGTAGCTTTTTCTTTACCCAAGTAGAATCAGACTGCACAGGTAACATTAACATTGCACAAATTAGAAGCTGTCTTTTAATCCATCATCAACTGCATTCACCCATCCCATTTGGAAAGCATTCAAAGCAGATGTTAAAAAGGACACATTCATGGACAAGTTGATATTGCACGTACCGCCTCTATAAAATATAAAGAGAAGATGATCATACGTTGCAAGGCTAGGCTCTGAAAAGCAAAAACACTGAAGTTACTTTAACATTCTTGGCTGAGCTTTATGCCTGAGCTCTAATTCACAGTCCCCGTCCCTTCCAGTGAGGCAGCATGCATAAATTTACTAAATTCTCCCCTTGCCCACCCTAATGCTGGACCAGACCTCACGTACATGTTACAGCTGGGAGGGATGACATCTGAGGGTGGACCACCAGTTGAAGCACCATATCGCTATGGGGCAAGCAGTCAAGCTTTCCTGCTCTAAATTAAAACCAAAACTATTTCATAGCTAGTTTCTCTTCTGCTCATGAACCTATCTTTAGGGTATCAACAAGTGTGTTACTGGGGCAAAGCACACTCCACAAGACATCAAATTGGTTGTGCAGATATTCCCTGTTTTTGCAGTGTTTATTTGACATCAAAAGCAATCATCTACATCAAAAGCTTTTTTTCTGTAGAGATGTAGGTATATAGACCTGAACTGGCTTGGGTGGTGTGTGAAGTAAATCTCCTTGATCTATGGGAAGCTAACAGACTCAGCTGACTGCTACAAACGTGTATTCATATCTTTCACTACTTCTTCAGCAGTACTACAATAAAGACCTAGTTGAGAAAGAGCCTATGGGCCAGGACACACTCCCCCACTGCATACACACACCTGTCCCTGAGTAGTCAGAGGTAATTACAGGTAAAAATGTAACGACAAACATGCTCCTAACCTAAAAGACTACAGCATCAAAATGCTGTATTATTCGACCTCAGGGACTAAGTGCATGCACTATACTGTAACTAGTAATCAGCTCTGAACAAAGACTGAAGACGATGATTCAATTTGAAATCCACAGCCACTGGCTTGCTGAGTGGCCGCAGCTCAGTGGCCACTGCATTTTTATTTCTGCATTTAATGCATTTCACTTATGCATTTTTACTTCTCAGTTCTCTTGCAAAAGGAAACAAATAGTGAAGTTGAGAACACAGTGAGAAATGCCCTTTTCCACAAGCCTTGAGCTTCTTCCCTGCAACTAGGAATGACTGTGTTGTTTGCTGATGAACTTTTGAGTTAGCCATTCTGGAGGTGGCACTGAAATATAACAACCATTCTGGTTCTCTTACCTATATCAAGTGCTTCCATTTCCTTCATTACCAATAAAGACATACTTCTGCCTACACCACCACATCTTCTCAGAGTCTTCAGTAAAGCATTGAACGTTAGCAGATTTGGTTGCACTCCCTGTTGAACCATGTGATTCAGGAAGACCTAAAACAAAATCCTCAAATCCTTAGTGCTTCACACATTATGGATCACAGTTCAGCTTTCAGTTAGGTATACATGCATTTCCTTAATCTGATCCTTCTCACTCCTTTCAAGTGAATGACTCTACCTCAAATGATTAAGTGAGTACCATCTAATTTTTATTAAATTTGAGCAAAAAGCAAGACTACAAAATTACATCAGATTAGATCTTGGAGAATTGTGTCTAGAACATCAAGAAAATTTTTTAATTTATGGATGAATTTTCCTTACTGATGTTATGTCATTAAAACTGAACCCTCTAATGCTACCCCTCAAAATTCCATTTCCATCACACCACTATGAATCACAATTCAGAGTAGAGTTTTTATTTGAAATTTTTTGTTTGTTTATATCTCCCAGCATAATTTCCCAATTACTTTCTGTCTGGGCAGTTCTTGGATCAGGTACATTCTCACAAGGCAAACCATTGCCCAAGGGCAAGGCTGAATTTTGTACATTTTCCACTCCTCAAGAGCTAGTTTGTATGTTTACACAAGTGTACTTCCTTTGGAGTAGAAATTAGCATCTTTGTACAAAGCTCTTGGTCTTAGTCTTCTAACAACTGCAAAATTCTAGTGATAAAGCAGACCCAGCCCCTGCACTCTTACCCCTTCCCCACCTCTTCTGCTCACACTCCTTACCTTGGCTAATTCCCATCTTTCTAAGAACCTCTCCTTTAGATATGGGACTGCTGTAATCAGTGCGTTGAACGTGTGCACGTCAGCTGGAAAATGTAAGATAATTAATTTTAACTGACAATTACACTCTACAGAAAACAGTTTGTTCTAACATGGCTCAGTTTTTGGCAAAGTCTCATGCAAACCCGTTTCCAGTGAGCCAGCCACACGCCAGCTGCACTGAAACAAACAGTTTGCATTCAGCTCCCATGATCTAGCTGAGGTCCGTACCCCTGCGCCAATCATCACTGCCATGAAACAAATACTTACGTACCCAACAACGGCCTTCTGCTACTTAGAAGACCACAAGTCAAAACCAGGAGACACTTACCCTTGTGTCTTTCATTCAGCAAGTCCATGTACATGTCATAAGCTTTAGCAGAAGCCCCGTGCTGCAAAAAACAAAAACCCAACAAAAATAAACAATCTCTTCGACTGTGTGAGACTTCACAAGCTGAAAAAAGTCCTCCCAGTACTGAACGACAACTTTACCTTCACCATCCCACGGATCATTGTGCAATAGGAATGCGCATTCCTCTCTGGCATTATCTTAAATATCCTTTCAGCATTGTTGTTCTCCCTATAATCAACGAACAAGCTGAATGTTAAAGAACTCAATAAAAGATACCTCTAGGAAAAGGATTCAACATGCAGAACAAAGTAATGGGCTGTACTCCCAAGGGCTGACATTCAATTATATTACCTGTGATATTTTCAGCTATTCTACAACCGCTTACTAGATTTCCATCAACACTTTAAAAGATGAGCAAACACAGATGTATTTAACAAGTAACATCTGCAAGTATGGGCTGCTATAAAGTCTTTAAGTCTGTTTTATAACAACAATGCATGTGCACAATCCACTGAATATAGGAATATTGGCAACATTTGCTGTACCTCCATCTGGAGCCAGATGACTGTGAACCTCTTTGGAATTGTCTCTTTGGAGCCTTCTGCTCTGAAGCGTTCACCTGGAGAGATTTTTGCAGAAACAAATTTCTCAAAGTTCGCTATTGTTCAACATCAAATGACGTGATTTGGTAACAATACAGAAGTTCAGCAGCAATTTATATGCTACTAAAGGTGTTTTTTAATTGGTTACATTAAAATATTTTTTATTATAATGTTCAGAAAGCAATAACTAGATTAAGAATACTGTTTATATTATTAAACAGTCTAACAGGGCAAATTATATGTATTTGTGGAGTTGGTGGGAATCATTAGACCACAGCACATCCTCTGCAAAACCCTTTCTCCCTCAACAGTCTTCCCAGGGAGAGGTATTGTGCAACACATCTACTACTGTACCCTGCAACCTGATACTCTTGAAGTCACACAAGGAGCCCTCAACTTCACTGAAGTCTAATTAATATGGTTCAGACTGAAAGAAAATTAACCAGCTGATCTACACTACAGGTACTAGAGGTCTTATTTTCAGGCAACTATAGAAACCAGGTTGTCAGTGAGAAACAGTTATTTAAACACAGTTCAGCAAAACTAAGGCAAGACAGGGTTCCAGCTGCTAAGTTCAGCTTTATGGAAACTACTTTTGCTAGTAGGTTTGACACAGGATTGCTGTAACTGCCATATGTCTAGAGGATGTTGACTGCATTTGACCCACCTCACACCATCTCCCAGGCAGGCAGTCACAGCAGAAAAATCTTGACATCACCTTGATACACTCCCACTACATATAAATATATAAGTACAGAGAAACAGGTTTTTCATACCCCTGGTTCTTCCAAATCCTCTTTTTGCCCTTCCTGTTTTTCTGGAGTAGATTCTCCATCTCCATAGAAACATAACAAATCTAAAAGGCTGTTTGTGGTCTCCAGAGATACAGGAGTACCTATAGAAAATGAGGGTGTACAACAGTTGCAGGCAAGGTAAAGAACAGAACATTCTATAGCCGTATCAGAAAACTTTTGAACACCCAGTTATGCCACTTTGTTCTCTTTCAACATAAAGGCATTCTCTAGCAAGTCTGTAAAACATGAGTGTGACACTAATACTTCCACAAACCCATTCGTAGCAGGAGACAATTTTAACACCAAACTAGAGTATCTGTTTTAATATTGAAGCCACTGAAAGGGTAGTTTTCCTGACCAAGTGGGAGAGCGAAGTGGCAACTGGCAGCCAAAACTGTGAAGCAGAACAAGCCCAACACAACACCTGACATTTCTAGTGCCTTTCACAACTACTCCTTGGATAAACTCTGCTGTGAAGACCACTTTGTGTGTTTCACTTTCTATGAAACAGATGTAAAACCAAGAAAAGAAAAGAGCTATTTGATGGAATCATCTCCTTTCTATCTTGCAGTGGATATGGGAAAGTCTCACCTTCCCTTCAGAGGCTGTGGCAGTTACAGTTTTCTACTGCTTCCTCCTCATTCACCCGTGACAGAGATAAGGTCCAAATTACGGAGGAACTGAGAAACACCCATTTACTGAGGGCAGGTCTACAGAAAGGGCACTCAGCTGGTATGCTACACCAGTCCAATGCAGCGGGAAAGTGGTCAGCACAGATGTAGCTTATACCAACCAATATGTTACTGCACAAAGGCCTTTGCAGGCAGAATGGTACCATTCAATCACACAGCACCTGCCCACAACAGGCCCTACTCTACTGCATCACAAATTTTTCTGCTTTGGAAGAGAAGGAAAAAACTCAACACTGTATCATCTGCTTCTTGATCAAGAAATCATTTATTCTCTGTATCACCGAAGTGACATGTCAGGCAAGCAGTGGATAGGGAGGGCCCAATAATTCTGGAGAACCACTTCATCAGACCAGAGTCAGTTGTGAAAGGCAGCAACATAATCATGAAATTGTCTCAATAGCCCATGCCAGCTAATAAAATATTTTTGCCACAATTTAAGTAGAGCTCTACCACAGAACCTGGCAGGTGACCACATACCTGCTTGTACAAGCTGATCAAACAGGTCCACAGAATCTTTCACCCTTCTAAGGTTGATACGCTCTTTTAGAGCTTCTTCACTCACTCCTTCAATCTGAGGTGTAAGAGCCTCAGGCATCAAACACTAAAAGCAAAGAGTGCAAGTTAGACATGAGCTTAAACCTTCTCTAAACCAGTGCTAAAACACTAAACAAATATGCTTACTCTTCACCCAGTATCCTGCTTTGGTAATCTCCCAACCCTCCCAGACTAACAGCAGCAGTCCTTTCGGTGAAGGACCACATATCCTGATCTCCCACTTTCATGCTAGAAAGTCGGTATCTAAACAACATTTCTTTTCTTACTTCTGATACTTCTTACTACTTACTGATATGATACTGACTTCCTTAAGAAAAATGTTCACTTCAGAAACATAATGGAAATACAGTACTGCTTTCATAGCTGTCTGCAAAAGTTAACAAAACTATCCTTTTATGTTAGCTTTGGACCAGTCTGACAGTTGATTTCACCACCTGACAAAGCACAAATTCAATGAAAATGAAAAGAAAAATGCTTACTGGTATGTTGGGCTCTGCAAAAATCTTGTCAAAATACTGAGGAAATTGCTTAATAATGTATTTTGCAGCATTTCTCCCAGACTCCTTCGACAATGAAAACAGACGCTGCATAGGAATGAGAGAGAACAAGATGAAGAAACATGCAATTAAAAGCCTGAGAGTGAGGAAAAACATTTTCCGTAACACTGAGCATTCTCATGGGACCAAATTAAACTCATGCTTTGTTTTCAACTCTTAGTAAAAACACAGGCATAAGACAACATTCCAGATAAACGTTCTGGTATTTATGCCAATATAAGAATGTCTGTTCATTAAATGAGACTGTAATTTACTACTTTGTTACTTAGTGAAGGGACAAAGTTCTCTACCAGACATCTGAAATGCTGTACTAATACCTCAAGCTCAAAAGCATCTCTCTTTTTAGAGTCACGGCACTTGGACTTTTCTCTCCCCGATTGTCATTTCCAAGAGCATCACCCGATTCCCATCCACCTCTCTTCCTCAAGTTCTTAAGTCAGACCATCCTTTGCTATTTCTTTTTAAAACTCTTCACACTTGACAGCTGCCTTCAGCCTTCTCAATGGCTTCACCTCTGGTATGCAGAAGAAGTTAAGTTCTCTCGTAGCTATATCACTGCCTTGACACGAGATCTCAGCTCTCAGTCTTCTCTCGCGACACTGATTAACATCACACAGCATGTCCTTGTTGCCCTCATTTCCAGTTATGCTTTCTCCTGCCTCGGCTTTGCACTCTTTAATCTTATGTAAAGATAACATCAGGGGATGACTCCTTTCCTTCTTCCTATCTATCATTACCTCAATACTACTATTTCCATAAGCCCAAGTTACCAAATAGCTGCTCTCTGATAAAACTAAAATTCCTGGGGCTTGGCCAGGACAGTTAACTGGTAACATGTAGTCTATGTAGTAACACACACATGTGACCTTTTGTGTTTTAATTCACACATTTCATTCAAATTTAACAAAACTGTAAGCACAAAATCTCAACACTTGGGAGTTACTTAACAAACTAAGAACATGGAGAAACAGAAAAACTCAGCAGGTAAGCCACTAACTTGCAGGAATGTTACCAAAGCTGTGCCAGCTGGAAGGTCCCTACAGGGGCAGGAAGAAGAGAGAACTTCGTGCGTGTGTAGGTGGATTTGTCCAGAGAAATGCTAAAATCATTATGCATTCAGAAAAACACAGAGAAGAAAATTCTGAACGACATCTGATACTTCATTTTCTTTTGTAATTGAAGGCCCCAATTACTCCTGCCAGAGCAGGGTCACCTACAGCACGTTACACAGGACAGCGTCCAGGCGGGTTTTGAATGTCTCCAGAGTGGGAGACTCCACCACCTCTCTGGGCAGCCTGTTCCAGTGCTCCACTACCCTCAAAGTAAAGAAGTTCCTTCTCATGTTAAGATGGAACTTCCTATGTTCAAGTTTATGCCCATTACCCCTCGTCCTATCACTGGGTGCCACTGAAAAAAGACTACTCCCATCCCCCTGGCATCCTCCCATTAAGTATTTGTATGTATTAATAAGATCCCCCCTCAATCTTCTTTTCTCTAGACTAAAGAGACCCAAGTCCCTCAGCCTTTCCTCATAAGAAAGGTGCTCCAGTCCCCTAATCATCTTTGTTGCCCTTTGCTGGACCCTCTCCAGCAGTTCCCTGTCTTTCTTGAACTGGGGAGCCCAGAACTGGACACAGTACTCCAGATGCGGTCTCACCAGGGCAGAGTAGAGGGGGAGGATGACCTCCCTCGACCTGCTGGCCACACTCTTCTTGATGCACCCCAGGATGCCATTCGCCTTCTTGGCCGCCAGGGCACATTGCTGGCTCATGGTCATCCTGTTGTCCACCAGGACTCCCAGGTCCCTCTCCACAGAGCTGCTCTCCAGGAGGTCAGCCCCCAACCTGTACTGGTGCATGGGGTTATTCCTCCCCAGGTGCAGTACCCTACACTTACCCTTGTTGAACTTCATAAGGTTTCTTTCTGCCCAACTCTCCAGCCTGGCGAGGTCACGCTGTAAGGCAGCACAGCCTTCTGGCGTGTCAGCCACTCCTCCCAGTTTTGTGTCATCAGCAAACTTGCTGATGGTACACTCTATCCCTTCATCCAGATCATTGATGAATATGTTGAACAAAACTGGGCCCAGTACTGACCCCTGAGGGACACCACTTGTTACTAACCTCCAACTAGACTCTGCGCCACTAACCACAACCCTCTGAGCTCTATCTGTAAGCCAGTTCTCAATCCACCTCACTGTCCATTCATCTAAGCCACACTTCCTAAGCTTTCCTGTGAGGATGATGTGGGAGACAGTGTCGAAAGCCTTGCCAAAGTCAAGGTAGACAACATCCACTGCCCTCCCCTCATCCACCCATCTAGTTACTTTGTCATAGAAGGCTATCAGATTAGTCAGACATGACTTCCCCTTGGTGAATCCATGTTGACTACTTCTGATAATCTTCTTTTCATCCAGGTGCTTTGAGATGACTCCCAGAACAAGCTGCTCCATCATCTTCCCAGGGATGGAGGTGAGGCTGACCGGCCTGTAGTTTCCCGGGTCATCCTTCCTGCCCTTTTTGAAGACTGGAGTGACATTGGCTATCCTCCAGTCCTCAGGCACCTCACCTGTCCTCCAGAACCTTTCAAAGATAATGGAGAGAGGCCCAGCAATGACTTCCCCCAGCTCCCTCAGCACACGAGGGTGCATCCCATCAGGCCCCATGGATTTATGTATATCCAATTTATCTAACTGATCTTTAACGTGCTCCTTGTCAACCAAGGGATAGTCTTGCTTTGCCCAGACTTTCTCTGTTACCTGCAAAGTCTGGGTCTCACAAGGACTGGCTCTCACAATTAGATAAGAGTTTTCATAGCCTAGAGAAAGGGGGTAGGGGGGAAGCTATCAAGGATTTGAAAGGAAATACTTACAGAATTGCCAGCATTTCTTGGCATAAGGAAAGGGTCATCCTGGAACATATAATGAGCAGCAGTAGGATCCTGTAGAAAGGAGAATCCAGGATTGAAACGTTCATAGTTATGTACACGGGCATGCTGTATCCATATTACACTGCCTCATGGAATTTAAGGCACAATGAACAGTTCCATCATAACCACCACCTGATGCCCATTTTACAAAAGCTCCTCCTGTTCAAAAGGTTTAGCCTGTTCGGAAACGGTTAAAAAAAGCATTTCCATTATACACATACATGCAGGCTAACATAGTGACAACAAAAGGGTCCTTAATATAACATAACAAGCAATGAGTGCCCTGCAGAGCAAGCAGGACCCCAACTATAAGTCTCAGAGGAGCTGAGGGAACTTGCAGGATCAGATTCAATATCCAGAACTCAAGACAAACAGGACTGAAGAATAGCATCAGAGCATTTACAGTTGCTGCCTAGCAAGAGTAGACACTGATTGCTCTTTGCAAGGCTTACTTTCTGGGCTTAGATTGGGAAGAGGTAGTCTGGATTGGGAAGCTGAACTGGTAAAGAAACTTGGTCCTGATGTTCGCAAAAGCCTTATCAAAATATTACAGCTTTCACTGGTAGCTGCAGCTCTCTTTTAGCACTAGAAGGAGGCTTTAAGGACACAGCAAAATACGTTACGCAAAAGTGAAAAACCCATAAAAAACAGATGTAGAAGTCCCATCTTTCATTTATGGCCAAAGGAGAAGAGCCTTCAGAGCACAAGGCTATTGCATGAGATGGACAACTCGACCTATTTCCATGACCAACAGAACTACTTACCCTGTTCACAGTAGAAGCCAATGTCTGAAGAACCGCGAGCTTATCCCTAAACATAAAGGAACTTTGATTAATACTCGGTTGCAGACTTTGAACGTTATGCATTACATTGTATGCAGAACAAACACAGGAATATCCTGACCCATGAGGTTTTTCAGTTCTAGGAAACAATGTTTTTGCTGCACTTAGAAAATACCACTTTTTGCAAAGGGAGAGAAAATTCAACTGCAAAAAATGGTCTCAGTTTTGGAACAACCACAGGAAAAAGAAAAGACTTTGAGGAAAACCACAAAAGCATCTGTGTTTCCTGCTACCACTCCTGCCTTTATTATACATTATCAAAGAAAGAACACAGGGAAGGGACACAGAAAAGATTCCCTGGAATGCTCCTCTCAGAGCCCTCCATCTCTGAGAGATGAATACACAAGTCTTGGGAGGAAAAAAAAACCCTCAAAATAGAACAAAACTTCTCAGGACTGTGCCTGTAGATCCTTAAGATTTTGGTTGTGTTTCAGGCAAACAAGGAAGGCCACTGAAAGTGTTTACGTGGAGGTGGAGGTGGTCTTATTATAGGTTTACATGCAGACACCATTTGGCTATAAACTTAGTTTTTGCTTTCACTTTAAGTGCTTCCAACAAAATAGCTTTTGTTCAGCTGCATAATTTCTAAACAAGATTTATTCAGCCAGTTATCAATAGCCAAGTGTATTTTGCTGAAAGAAACACACCCCCATGCAGACAAACAAATAAACTTGATTTTACAGATCTCTAGCGAATGTGATATTTTGCAAAAAGACAGAACTATGCTTAAAAATGTAGTCCTCATAACTGTTCTTAAAAGAAAGGTCAACAACTGAGCGTACATACTCTGCACAGAGAGTAAGAGTCAAGAATATTCCCAGAGCTCCCAGTCAGAAGGAAAGCCACTAGTGGGACATTAAATCCAGGAATACAGCAACCTGAATTTTCTTTTTCAACTTTGGTGGACAGATTACATTTAGCTGTCTAATAATGACTTTCTTCCAGGTCAAGAGATATTCCAGCAGTAAACACTCACCAGGTTTTCTTTCGTGGAAGCACAATTTCTTCTTGAGTAACTTTAAGAAATAATATTAAAATTGTTAATAGAAACGAACAGATGCCCAAAGAAAATCTTGATCTCATGAAAACTAATGATCTAACTTGATCCAGCTGAAAGTACTAAGGCAAAGACTTTGAACCCACAGTCTGATGTAGGCCACAGTTTACTAGAATGGTAATAGAAAAGACTGACAGGGAGCTTAACGGTCTTGTGTCAAGACAGGATCAGGGCCCTATGGTAAACAAACCTCAGAGACATTGTACCCACTGACCCTCAAAGTGATTACCCATCCAAGCTTCTTCAATTATCCTTATCCTGTATCTTCTTGCTTGAGCCCCAGTCTTGACCAGTCCCTTGGTTTCTCACCCTTAGTCCCCCAGTTTGAAGTCTGCCATCTCTGCCCATTTGGCTTCCCCAGCTTAGCTTGCGTGAATACTGCAGCAAAGTGCCCCTTCAAGTTCCTGCTCTGACAGCCTGACACCAACTGTTCAGCTCTTTCCACCCCACAGATCAATCCACCCAGCTGTCCCAGAGAGAAAAAAAGAAAAAGGACAATACCAAAAGAAGAAGCTATAGGCTGTCAATAAAGCATCTTAGCAAATTCATTCACAGAGGAGCATGAGGGACCTCCTGATTACAACCCCCAGAGCCAGGGTCTGCAGAGGCACTTTGCCCACTGCCACTGTGTTGATACTTTCGTGAGCTGTTACTGACTGGCAAGAACTTGTTCCCATGTGCAGCACGGCTCCAAGCATCCCAGCTTACTTTTCTGACAAAACTCGTAGCACCAATATGGTAAGGAGTACAGAGAAGAAGCAAGAACATGAAGGAAACTGTCAGGATTAAGGTGGAAAACTCCTTAATTTTATTTTATAGTTTATTCAGTTTCAATAAGCAACTGGATAGGTCATGGAACTGGACAACTGAGTTCATGCTCTTGGAGCACAGAACTGGTTGGTGGCGAGGGCAGTCAAGTTAAGCCAGGAAAGCACTGCACTACAAAGACAGGGCAGGGGGGAATGTAAGAAGGGGAAGGGGGGCATTCACTGTCTTCTATATTTTGTGACAGGCTATGTTGCGTGGATATATATTAAAAAAAAAACAAACCCACATTTGCAAGAAACTAGCAATTAAGACATCAAGAAAGTAGTAATTAAGACATCATACCTTCTGACTTTTCCACAGTCTTGCCAACAGCTCTAGTACTAGAAGAGCACCTGTAAATCAGGGTTTTGAATTTATGGTAGTCACATTAATACACCAAAAGCAGATTAATGAAATCCTGTACTACAAGTCAGAAGTAATTAAAACATTAAAGGAGATAAATAACTGGAAACGTTGCACTAAGTCCAAATTATTACCATAAAACTCTTATTTGATACCACTCTTAAAAGCCCTAATTTCAAGACACAGTAAGTTATACACAGAAAATCAGATTACATAAAATTTGTAATTATTTATTTTGGGGGATATCATGGCTTTAAAGTAGTTTTCACAAATTACTGCATCTTAGAAAAAAAATCCTGAACATAAATCAGAAGACACTTTGCATTTTAGAGGAAGAATCTAGCTGAAAGCAGTATGTTTTTTAAAAATATTTTAGACCTGAGTAGCGTTTACACAAGCAGAAGACCATGTGCTGAGATGCAGGGAAACCAGACCCGACGAGTTCCGTATGCCCAGTCTACAGAGCTGCAGACAGCACTCTCACATAACCACAGCTGAAGAAGGCACATCCACATAAACGTGTTTCTGCTGTATACTGCAAAGCCGCTGCTCCGTGCTCAGTTCAGAGTCACAGCTCCAAGTCTTTGTTACAATTACTCACATTGTATTGCTTTTAACACAAATTAAAGCTTACATCAAAATACTTTTTTTTTTTCCTCACGAAGCAATCTAACACTGAAGCCTTACTGTCACTGCCATTCTCAAGTGCTTCCACGTTGACCTTGACCCTGAGAGAGACACTGTTAACGTGCACTCTGTGCTTTACAGTGATACTGCACAATTCTAGCTGCTCCCATACGCCACATAAACTTATTAGTTATGACTCTACCGTCTCAGGTGCGAGTTAGATTTTGCCTATAGAGTACCCAGAGAAGGGACAACCTTTCATTTGAGACATAGCCTGAGAGTAACCTCCCACCCCGTTTGCTTCTTCGCGTAATCACTTAACAGCTCAGGCTCGCTCCCGGGGCGGCTCCGAGCCGCAGAGCCCACCAAAAACAGGGAAAAGCCCCAGAAGAGGCGCTCCCCAGGCTCAGGCCCCCCCATTCCATCCCTCCATGCCACGCCGGCCCTGCCCGCCAGCGGCCTGAGGCGCCACCACGCATGCGCAGAGCGCGCCGATGCCGAGCAACCCGGACTGCGCCTGCGCGGCCTTTCGCGCCTCAATTCCCCAGACACCACCCCCCCCCCCGCCCGTTGTTCCCCTACGGCATCACCGCCAGGCACCTTCTCTTCCCTCCGCTGAGGGAACGGCAGAGCCTTACCGGTAGTGCTCTGGCCTCCCGCCCAGTAAGCAGCACCGCCTGCTCAGCGATACCACTTGCTGCCAGGAGCTGCCCCCCAGCCGCCGCGCCGCCATGCCGGCACTCGCGCAGTGCCTTCCCGGAAGGAGGACGGTACCACTCCTGCGGTGGGGGGGAAAGAAGCCTCCCCTCCGTGGCGGGGGTAACGCCCGGCCCCGCCTGCCCCCCGCTGCCGGAACCGCGTGGTGTCTCCGGCGGCGCCGGACCTTCGGCGGCAGAGAGGGGCGAAGCGTCGGCCGGAGAAGAGCCGCTCGTTCGCCATGAGGCCGCCGAAGGTGGTGCCGTGGCGGCGGCTGGTTGGGGGCTCCTTTGGGATGTACACGGCTGAGGAGATCAGGTGAGGATCCACGGCAGGCGGTGGGTCGTGCTGTTACCCCGCCGTCTGGGTGCTGTTGGGGACTACAACTCCCGGCGTGCCCTGCGCCGCAACGCCGCCAGGCCTCGGTGGGCTGTAGGCGCGGGGCCTCTTGGGACATGTAGTCTGACTGGGCCTGGGCCCGGGCTCTCAGCAGCCACTGGGATGGCGGCGATTGAGCCCCCGCCGGTTGTTGAGAGTTGGGGGGCTGCTGAGCTCTCAGTGGGCCTCTCAGACCCATTGCGCGGCCTGGGGCCGCTGGAGGTCTTGGAGAAGTGGGGAAGGGCCGTGGGGGCTCGGAGAGGCGGGGAGGGACTCCATGTGTGGGGCTGAGGGAGGGGGGGGAAGGGCCTGTGAGAGGACGGGGGGGCGGCCCCGTCCCTCTCGGGAGAGCCCCTCGCTGTCAGTAGAGTCGGGGGGAGTACGGCCATTTCCATGTGCTGCCAGGGGCAGAGGCTGCGGGGTGCAGTATAAACTTGTTTTGGGAGGGTGAAGGCTGCACCTCTCTTGGGGGGCCTCCTCTGGGGGTGGTGTTGGCTTCCCCCCACCGACTGCACCTCAGCACCAGCAGGGCCTGACAGAGGCTGCAGGAACCCTGTGCTGGCAAGGCTGGTCTTGTTCCTTGGTGGGCACATTGCTGGAAAGCTGGCCTGGGACCTGATCCTGAGTGTCCAGCACGGAAGAGACCTTGCTGGTTTCAGCAAAGGGAAAGTGTTCAGATATTTTAGCACCAGCGTAAGTGTCGCAGAGCTGAGATGTTCGTTGCAGAGGGGTGTTTTTGGCTTTTTCCAGCAGGTCATCTCTCCTGGAGTTCTAGAGAGCTGTCACCATTTCTTTAGTGTTGGTGTGATGTTAGCACTGTATAGCCAAGGATGTGCAGCTGTCATTGTCTACGTGGTTTTGTTGGTTTTATACCTCTCCCACTGCTTGAGAGGACACACAGCCAAAATTACTTCACTTCTTAATAGAATGGCTAAAGATGTAACAGAAATATTTGCGGTGGCATGAATGATTGTACTCAGACAATGAAACCAATGATACAGAAAATCCCCAAATTGCATGCACAAAGTGCCCTCAAAAAGATGTTCTTATCAGTAAAATATCATATAGATACTAAATGCCAATGCTAGTTGTACCATTCAAGTGTGTATCATGTAACTGTTTACTGCCATTGATTTTTTGTTTGGTATTGTTATTTTCTTTCTACTTTAGGAAACTGAGTGTAAAACCCATAACAAATCCTCAGTATTTGGATAATGTGGGGAATCCAGCCAGTAATGGACTCTACGATTTGGCTTTGGGACCTCCAGACTCCAAAGAAGTGTGTGCAACTTGCATGCAGAACTTCAGCAACTGCCCTGGTCATTTTGGCCATATAGAACTGCCTCTGACTGTCTACAACCCTCTGTTTTTTGATGTATGTATGCTTAATTATTGTCTTGCTGGTGAAATGGGTGATGGTGCTCAAGCTGTCATACAGTTTGTAGTCCTTGAAAATAGTAAAGGTGCTGAGATCTGTCTTCTCTCTAAGTTTAAGTGTAATAACAGCAAATGTAGTAGAAAAAGTTTGGTGTGTCTGATACTTCAATACAAATACACTTTTTAGGCTTTTGCAAAATATATGCTTTGTTGTAACTATTATTTTACTCGATATTGACAAACAAGACAGGGGGAATGTTGATCACTAAGCTGTATGACTGACTGTAGGGTGTCATGCCTTAATTAAATGGATGGCACAGTAAAAATTGTTAGTTGTTTCCTTTAAACAACTACTACAAACTTACATGAAGAGCTACCTAGGATTTCCAAGTGCTTCCTGGACGTTCAGGGCTTGGTTTTGCTCCAAATAACTGTATTGTACATTCTGCCCAGTAGATGCTCTCATTCCAGAATAATTTATTCTAGAAAACTTGATCAATGTGGATAGAACCCAACAACCTATCCAGTAATATGTTGACATAATGTGTGTGCCAAGTAAATGGAGGAATATAGCATTGCAAGTGTGGTGGCAGCAGAGAGTTGAAAAATGCTAATCTATGTAGAAATCCATCAGTCTTTTTAATTAAAAAAAAAAAGCTCTCAGGAAGATTTCTTCCATCTGGAAGTCAGACGTACTTCTCATAACTTTACAACAACCTAATGTAGAGCAGAGATTTGACTTGGTGTGCATCTTTCGGGACAGGTGGTATAAGCTTAGTTTGAGAGCTACTGGTGGTGGTCAAACTGCACATTTCTTTTAAGTGCTTCATGTGGGTGTTTTTTTCAAAGGTTCATCTTTTAAATATGAAAGGATTCCCAGCTGTAAGTGTAGGATTTACCTTATTTTGGTCTTAAGAAAGTTAGATGCATAATCTGATTGTACTTTTTCAGCTCTTTCTGGAATCTGAGGAGTGGGGCTATTTGCAGAGGAAGATGCATCTAGGCTATAACAGGAACCTGAGCTGGGATGAATTTCCCTCCTTATGTGCTGATCTCCCCATTTACAATAGCTGGCTCCTGCATAAGCTACTAATTGAGACTAAAAATATCACTTTCAGATGACTGAGGTTAGATGAAGTCTATCCTGCTTGTGCTGACCCAGCTTTGAAGTAGAATACTTCTATTTGACCAAGGAATAAAACCGTAAAACATATGAAGCAGTAAAACCATAAAACCCAATAAAACACTGCCGTTTTTCTGAAGCTGGAGGAGAGTGTGGTTGTATGAAGAATCTTAAGGGACTCTGGTGGTACTTGTGACCAGAACATTTTGTTTTACTAGTGTGGAGTTTTGGGTACCACATTGTCCTTTATGGGACAAGCTGTTAGAAGCTGTAATCGCAGTGCTATTTAAGAGCAGCCTTAGTGCCGGGGTTGCTATAGGTATGACAGGCTTTTCCTCTTGACCCCTGTATCTGTTATGTAGATGGTCTGCAGATAGTTTGTCTACAGGTCATGCTTTGCATATGAGTTTGTGTGGTTAAAAGAAATACTTTTTTTCAGTCCAATTCTTTGATTAAATTTAACAATTAGTCTAATTTCTCAATTATAGTAACACTTTTTTTAAGTTCAAACAAATCTATCTACTTACTTACTGTGCAAGCTAGTAAATCTACCAGGATAACTTTTTCCCCTTTTCTTTCCAGAAATTATACCTTCTAATTCGAGGTTCTTGTTTAAATTGTCACATGCTGACATGTCCTCGAGCTGTGGTTCACTTACTGCTAAGTCAGCTGAAGGTTCTGGAGAAGGGGTTGCTTCATGGCGTCCATGATCTTGAAGTCATTCTGAACAGGGCAAGTACTGTGTATTTCTCCATTCTTTTTTGAGTTGATAGTCCTGTAACTATAGAGCTATCCCAATTTCTTTTATTCTGTTTCTGTTAGTTTTTAGAGCAATGTGCAGATGCAACAGGTTCAGAAATTGAAGAAGAGTTAAATCACCACGTTCAGGAAATATTACAAAGTTATCAAATAAGAGATCA